TCACAAGCCCAATGGCACAACTGTGTCTTGAAGGCCTGAGGAAACGTTAGTCAGACTGGGGCCAATCTTATCTCTGGGGGATGATATTATGCCAGGGGTGGCTGACCGAATGGAGAGATCTCCACCGTGGGGGTTGAAATTCAGCAGGTTCTGACCGGTTCTGGAGAACCGGTAACGGAAATTTTGAGCAGTTTGGAGAACTGGCAGCGGAAATTTTGAGTAGTTCAGAGAACTGGCAAATACTACCTCTGGCTGGCCTCAGAGTGGGAATGGAGATTTTGCAATATCCTCCCCCCAGGAGTGGGGAGGGAATGGGGATTTTGCAGTATCCTTCCCCTGGAGTGGGGTGGGAATGGAGATTTTGCAGTATCCTTCCCCTGCCACGCCCACCAAACCACACCATGCCCACCAAGCCATGCCCACAGAACCGGTAGTAAAAAAAATTGGATTTCACCACTGCTCCACTGCCATGTCACTTGTCCTCTTGGCTTGTAGTCTTTATTTAATCTATTTAATCTTCCTATATTTAAATCACTTTGTATTATTGTTTTATCTTTTTATCATTTTGTAAGCTGTCCAGAGTTGCTGCAACAGTGAAATAGGTAGCATATAAATTTAATAAACAAACAAACATAGTGATAAGTATCTGCAATCTTCAGCTGTTTAAAAATGCAGCGATACAGGCAATAATGTGTACTCGTAGAACAGTACACGTAGCACCTCTGCTCTGAGAGCTATATCAGTTGCTAGTTTAGCAATAGCAATAGCACTTAGACTTGTATACCGCTTTATAGTGCTTTACAGCCCTCTCTAAGTGGTTTTACAGAGTCAACCTATTGCCCCCAACAATCTGGCTCCTCATTTTACCCACCTCAGAAGGATAGAAAGCTGAATCAATCTTGAGCCTGGTGGGATTTGAACTGCCAAATTGCAGGCAGCCAGTAGTCAGCAGAAGTGGCCTGCAGTACTATACTCTAACTACTGTGCCATGGAGGCTCAGTTTGATTTCAGATCTAGTTCAAGGTGCTGGTTTTGAAGCCCTACATTGTATGGGACTGGGTTACTTTTTTTAAAATAAAATTTTTATTAAACAAACAGTAAAAACATGTTTTTAATGTTTTTAAGTATGGGACTGGGTTACTTGAGGGACCTCCTCTTTTGGATTACATCCGTGTGACACCCCCACCCCCCAATCCGGAGAGGACATGTTGTGGATTCCATCCGTTAGGGAATTATATCTGGTGGGTCCCAGGAGGCGGGTCTTCTCTGCCATGGTGACCACCTTGTGGAATCTTCACACCCAGGAAGTGAGGTCATCTCCACCCCTTTTAACATTCTGCCAGTCTATGGTATCAGACCTGTTGTCCCAGGGAGATCTTGCTATGGCTATCTTACTACAGCTAACATCATCCTCTCTGGCTCATGTGTTCTTTAATAGTTTTTTTAATAGGTTTTAATAATGTTTTTATATACTTCTTGGCTTTCTTTTTTTTGTTAACTGTTGCCCGCCGTCCAGACTCACATTCTTGTGAGATTGGTGGCCGTGCAAATATGATAGATAGATAGATAGATAGATAGATAGATAGATAGATAGATATGATTGAGATGATTGAGATGATTGATATATATATAGAGAGAGAGAGAGACAAAAAGAGAGAGAGAGACAGAGAGAGAGAGACAGAGAGGATAGATAGATAGATAGATAGATAGATAGATAGATAGATAGATAGATAAGATAAATAGAATAGAGGGAGAGATAGATAGATAATGATAGAGATGACTGATTGATAGAGAGAGACAGAGAGAGAGAGACAGAGACAGTGAGGATAGATAGAGAGAGAGGAGAGAGAGAGATGATAGAGAGAGAGAGAGAGAGAGAGAGAGAGAGAATAGGTATGCTACCACTTTGTAAATAAGGCATAGTCTCCAGCCATAGTTGGTGAGGAGCAGTGAAGAAATCTACTTGGTGGTCTGGAAAAAAATGTAGACATCCTGTTCTTTTTCCAGGAACAGAAGTTGCTTAAGAGAAACAAGAGTGATTAACGTCTCCAGATAACAGTATGTGATCTCACCCGTTTTCAGGTCTTCCATCTCATATCTCCTACAGAGAATCAAGATACAGCTCTGGTAGCCCATATGTAGTTCTTTCCCCTTTAGATACAACCATGCTGTGGTCTGCAGTTCCTTCTTTGTTCCTCCACTTCATTTTGTCTCATCACTTGAGACCAAAATTGTTGTTCGTGGTGGCAACATGAACAAGGGTTTCCATAAACAAACTTAAGCCCACTCCAGCAAACCTCACGATCTGAATTATATAATTTCAACTCTAGGCCTCTCTACACAAAGCAAGAAAAGCTTCTGGGTATAATCCCTGAAACATCTTTGTTGCCTTCGTCAAAAAAGTCAAAATGGTAGTAATTAAATCTCCATCCATTTGGATGAGCACCAGGTAGACCTTCGACTGCACCACTGTGGCCGCCATTTTGAACACTCCCTGTGGACACCCCTGAGGTAATTTATAGCCATTGAATTGTGCCTGTTAGTAACTAAATTCAAAAAACAACAAGTCGTTTCCTCAAATTTTCCTTTTGACACTAGACTGGCGCACCATGTTGCCTTGGCTCCTAAGATACCAAAAACCAAGTGTAAACATACAGAGGTTGTGTGGTTTGCGATGTCTCTAAACTCTAAAGGCAAGAGTTGTGTTTAAGGCATGACACAACTCATCTTTAAAATCGTGTTTTCTTCCTGTTAAAGATGACTCATAAGCGATTGCTTCAAGTATGATGAGTTGCTTCTACAGTACGTAGGAAATTTTTCACATGAGAGCCGTTACTGATGACATCCTAATTTATATTTTGAAGTGGTCCGGTCTCTTAGGGAGACCTGACCACATTATGTTCCTCTTGGCTCTGTTGGTGCTTTCACTCCAGTTAGTTCACCTTAGCACAGTAGTTTCTGGGTCATTTGAGGAATTGGATGTAAGGGAAGAATTAGTCTGAGGAATAAATGGCTTCACTTTGATGAATTTAGTGGCCAAAAACGTTAGACACTTAGTGATACAAATTGGTTTTCCCCAGCTTGATGTCCTCCAAATATCTTGCATTTTCTATTCCTAACACATCAGGAGGGCACCAAGCTGGGAAAGGCTGATCATCTAGAAATTTAAATTTGCCTTCCCCAAGCTGTGTGCTCCTTGGAGCTTGAAACAATTTTCTAGCCAGTGTGTCTTAAGACTTGCGGTCTTGATCCAATCCATTCAAAGTTTCCATGAAGATAGCTAGTCTAGTTTGCTAAGGAAAGATTCAATTACAGAATGATATTTGAACAACTTCTGACTCTACAAATTTAATTTGTGACTCAGTGTCTAGTGCAAACCTGGAAAATGAGTTATTTAATAGCCAAGTTAAATATACTAACCTAGACTGATCATTTAATTGCTGTAAATGTTTGGGTTCACACAAAATGCTAAGGCTTCCTTCTCAGAATCTAACTCAAGTTAAGACTAGCCAAGCTTAATACATTGTTCAAATGTGACAAGGCTTTTAATTAACCTGGTTAAATTGGTTAAGTTAATAGAGCTAAAATCATCCTTCAGTTACTTTGGTTTTGGCTTGAGAGTGAAGTTAGTCAGTATGATTTATTGAGGTACTTGCCAAAAAGCAAACCGTAGTTTAATGCAATCCATAAACATGAACCTTTGGATATATTTTCTATGCCTTTGATGATGGCAAGATGACTATGAAGAGCAGATGACATCTCTTCCCACCCAAGAAAATCCCAAAACCATGAAGATCCATCAAGGCACGTCGAGAAGCAGAACTGGAACAAGACTTACTGGCAAAAAGTAACCTTCCATCATTGCACATTATGTTCATTTGTGGTTGCCGCAACATATTCTGTACAAGGCATATTCAGACACATCCTCACAGTTTACAACAACAAAATCACATAATAAAAGAAGTGTGAAACAGATTGCCTCAACAAAAAGATGCAAACAATAGTCTAGACATCAGATTAGGTAATTAGCAGCAGATGCAATTTGTTAGATCAGTGACACTGAAGCACAATATGAATAATCCACCAGTAAGCGTACACTTGTAATGGCATGCAGAAGGATCAAGATACACAAAATGTCAAAGCAGGCTAATTATTAGGCACAGTTAATGCATCTAGATCAGGGCTGTCAAACTCCTGGCCCGCGGGCCAGATGCGTCATGCACTGGCCACGTCCACCCCCGGTTTAGCAAAGGGGGGGGGGAAGTCCCAATACGTCACATGATGCCGCCGTGACGACGTGAGTTTGACACCCCTGATCTAGATGATGCATTGTAGAGTACAAAATTAGTAATAAAAGTGAATTTTAAATCAGGAGGAGAAGTTCAAGCTCTGAATGTTTAGAAGTAGGGCTCTGATTTTTGGTAAATCTTATTGGTATAAAAGTCACCTTTCCTGCATTTTTATTTGTTTGTCCACTATCCCCACTCTGGGTTGACAACTGCAGATCAGGTGAGCTAGACACACAACAATACAACTGATTTAAAGTGCTCTTATCTGGGTCAATGTATGGAGGTTGAATTTGAGTTTATGGTGAATATGTAGGTCTATTAAGGAACAAATGTAAAAATCTCTTTTTCAAACCAGTGCAGTAGCTTAAATTGTATCCAGAAAGCATGGTGCTTGATCCCAGGTCAAGCAATGAAATAGAAGAGTGACACCTAGTGACAGAACACAGCATTACAGGACATGAATTAAAGGTAAAGGTAAAGGTTCCCCTTGCACATATGTGCTAGTTGTTCCCAACTCTAGGGGGCAGTGCTCATCTCCCTTTCAAAGCTGAAGAGCCAGTGCTGTCCAAAGATATCTCTGTGGCCATGTGGCCTGCATGACTAAATGCCAAAGGCACACAGAATGCTGTTATCTTCCCACCAAAGGTGGTGACTATTTTTCCACTTGCATTTTTTACGTGCTTTCAAACTGCTAGGTTGGCAGAAGCTGGGAGAAGTAACAGGAACTCACCCCGTTAGGCGGCACTATGGATTCGAACCGTGGGTTTCAGCAGATTCTTATTATTCTTATTATTCTTATTCGAATTTCTATACCGCCCTTCTCCTTTCGGACTCACACCTCTGGTTAGAAGATAAAATAAGATATAAAATACGAAAGTAAATAAGAAAATAGTGGGGAGGAAGAAGGGAAAGAGAAGTGAGGGAGGATAAGAAAAGAAACGTTGACTTCTGACTCTCTTTGTTGCAGTAAAATAAGGCATTAACATCAAATCACAACTTTTTTGTTTTTTCATAATAATATGAACAAGCCATTTCTATAAAGATCTATCAATCTAGAAGTTCATGCATCTTAAAGTCACTGAGGTTGAGAAATACTGACCTATATATAGACTCAATTCTGAAAATAACAGAGCCTCTATGATTTTCCTACTCTGAACTTTTGGCAGAGGGACAGAGAGAGAGAAAGTTTTCTGCCAATGATTCTATCAGTCTTTCTTCCTTCTTAAACTCAAAACTTTGGAACTCATACAGTACAGTAATTATTTAACCTAGAAAATTTACCTGAATTAACCTATAGTAGTCTTCACAATTAGAATCAGAATTTCCATTGTATAAGTGTATTGTGCCCAATTTTTAAAATCTTTTTGCCATGGTTGTTAAGCGAATCACTGCCTTTGTTAAGTGAATCATGGTTATTAAGCAAACCGAGCTTCCCCTATTAACTTTATTTGTCGGAAGCTGTCTGGGAAGATAGCAAACACTATTCACATGGCCCAGGACACTACAACTGTTGTAAATACATCCCAGTTGCCAAGTGCCCTTATTTTGATCACGCGACCATAGGGTTATTGCAACGCAACAGTCATAAGTGCAAGGACTATTTGTAAGACACTTTTTCCAGTGTGCTCTAACTTCAATCAGTCACTAAACAGATGGTTGTAAGTTAAGGATTCTGTTGTGACCCCAGCCCCGGAGGCTGATTTATCTTTGCATGCTGATTCGGAGGATGATATGGAGGAGGAGGAAGCTGTCACGAGCTATGTGCCGGAGGGGCCGTCTTCACTGGTGAGTCAGCAATAACTGACAGTTGCTGATGTGCCTATGGACCCCAGCCAAATTGAGGAGGAAACAGAGGCCAGTAACGACGAGGGGGAGACCCTATTGGATGCAAGAGAGAGACGTAGGAGATGTCGTAGAGAACAGCTATTGCCACATCCTAAGAGGTGTGGTCAGGAGACGTAGGGTCACACCCTACAAAGTATAAAAGGGGTGTGACTGGGCTGGAAAGGCGTGGTGAACAATTTGTTGGCGTTTTGGATGCAGTGGAGTTACAACTGTTATTTTGGAGTTTTTTGACAAGAGTCTGCATTCCTGCATTAGCCTGCTGGCTGTCTGCCAAGACCTTTGGAACATTGCCTGGTAACTATTGGACTGATGTACGCTTTGGAAGAGAACTATTTATTAAAGGGCCACCTTCAGTCTCTCTAGCCTGCATTTGTTACTGCCGAGATATTTGAGCCTCTGCAAGGCCACTCGTGTGAGGGGACAGAACAGATTCCCTGTATTTGCGCTGTTCTTTGCCTGCTAGGATGAATCCATTATTATGGAGCAACCAGATCTTCAAAATGAATGATGGGTCATTTCAATATATTTGGCCCAATTCGATGAGCATGTCAGTGGTGGTATTCAGCCGGTTCTATCTGGTTCAGGAGAACCGGTAGGGGAGACTATGGGATGCTGTATCCATCCGTGCGGACGTCATGACGTCCCATTTTTCCACATTTTTGAGGCTGTGCGCATTTGCGTGCACAATTTTGCGAACTGGTAGGGAAGGTAAATGAATACCACCCCTGGAGCACTTGTCTGGAATGGTATAGGGCAGGGGTCAGCAACTCACAGCTCTGGATCCACATGTGGTTCTTTCACCCCTCTGTTGTGGCTCCCTGTCACCGGTCGACTCCACAATTGATAGGGCTTTCAGTTAGGACAGGTAGAGGAAAAAGAATGCCACGGTAGGAGGAGACTCTATGATGAGGGGGGGGGAACTAGATTTCTGTTTGGCAGAGGAAAAAGGACACCGTGTTAGGAGGCGACTCTGTGGTGGACGAACCGGACTTCTGGTCAGCTGCGGAATTGTATGGGGGACTTCCGGTTAGGACCTTTGCGGCTCTTTGAGTGTTTAAGGTTGCTGGCTCCTAATATAGGGTTTCCTGCTTGAGCAGGGGGTTGGACTAGAAGACCTCCAAGGTTCAGGGGTGAAATCTACTTACCTTCCTTACTGGTTCAGAAGTGCATGGTTAAAACCAGGAAGTAATGACACCCGGGCAGCGACCACTACCGGATCGCCAAACCACAGGGAAAAATCCCTACCAGATCGGGCGATCCGGTCCGATCTGGGATCATTTCATCCCTGCCAAAGTCCCTTCCAGCTCTATCAATTGATTGATTGATTGTCCTCAGTAGAATGGGAAACTTCTCTACATTCCTCAGGATTCCAACAGGGTTGATTGCCTTTGGGTATGAATCATTTTAATCCATCTGTCATCCCTGACAAGAGGAATCTGTTTACAGAAAGCCTAAACCTAAACAGGAAGCAATCTGGCTATGAGAAATGGATAAATTTACACAGAACATGTACTCAGTTCGTGACAGAGAAATGCAAATCCAGAACCATCTTTTGCTCTGTGAGTCTGTCTAGAATCTGGTTGGTTGTCAAAATGGCCATAATGAGACTCCAGGCCTCCCCAACTGGATTCCGATGTCCATGGCTTTCTGCTAGTAGTTTCCAAGCTATTACCAATAGTCCTTGACTTACAACTGGCCACTTAGGAACAAGGACCCCAAAAAAGGTACTTAGGATCCACAGTCAAAATTTTGATGCACTCTCTCCCTCACGGCCACTGAGAAACTAACATTTATTTTCAGTGTCCAGCAAAAAAAATAAAAAATAAAAGTCCACTACAGACGATCAATTTGCTTAAGGACCGCAAGATAAGCTTAACTACAGCGTTGTTCACTTTATAACCACTGCTTTTGCTTAATGACTGCCACAGTTAAGTTCATAAAATTGGGCGTAGTCACGTAATGACACGCTTAACGGCCAGCACAACTTATAACTGTAATTTCGGGCTCAATTATTATTGTAAGATGAGGAGTACCTGTAACAAGGAATAATTTGATGTTGCATCTTGATATTTCTTCAACAGCTTGCTCGGCTTTGCTAGCTGGTCTATTACCCCCACCCACCCCCGCTCCCGAATTTGCCAAAAAGTTAAATATGTAGACAGATGTTTGACATCAAGATCTTAATTGTTTTATCACAAGGACCTGCAGAGATGAGTACTTTGAAAATAATGGACGGGCCATCGGTAGTTCTTTGAAAATAATTCTTCTACGCCTTCCCTCTCCTCTTTCATACTTATTCCCCATGGCCATGACATTCTTCTTTTTTTATTTCTGCATCAAGTTTCTTGCTTTTTTTCCACATCCAGCTTTTACAGCTATTTTTAGAAGTGGTATTTGAGCAGCTCAAACAGATGGCTATAGAGCCTGACACTTGAATCCAAATTGAGGATCTGCTTTCCAAGAGCTACATGTGAAATCTATAATCTTTGGACTTTGGGAGACTAAATGAGCAGCGTGAACTCCCCAAAACTGCTCCTTATTTCATCAGCGCCCAAAACAGATGGTAGGGAATTGCCAGCTAAGATAAATTAGGCAATATTTTTATCATTCCCAGACCATTCTTCTCATACCGGAGCCGATCCAAGTATCCTGCCCCACAAGAAGTTGGAATGGATCCCTGCACCATTCTGGAATGTCTATTATCTATTCTAGAATACCAGGCCAAAATTAGAAACGGGGGTGAGATACTTTGAAGGGTCAATAAATCAGGGCCAAATAGCTCATTCTCCTCTCTTTGAGTAAGGTGACCAGACGTCCCGCTTTTGGCGGGACAGTCCCGCTTTTGAGCAATTTGTCCCGCGTCCCGCGGCGTTTTAAAAAAGTCCCGATTTTTCATTCTGCCTCCTGAGTCCCAGCTGATGACTAGAGGGAAAAAAACTGTTTAAACTCTTGCCGCGGGGCTTCAAAGGGCCGCCCTACAGCTGATTAGCTCGGCTTCCCCCTCTCAGCTGTTTTGCGGAGGGCTCTTGCTGCTTGCTAAATTGCTCCAGCAGATTTTTTTTTCTCCTTGTGCAAACCAAGCTCAAAAGGAAACTGAAAGTGAAACAGGCTGTTGGCTTGTTTGGTGCAACGTTGGAAAATTAGGCAGCAGAATTCTTTTCTTTTTCCTCACCAAAAAAGGTAGGTACAGACAATGGGAAATTTAGGGCAAAAGAGGAGAGTTCAAGATTTTAAAACACAAAAGAAAAAAAAGCTCTTTTTAACTAGGGAATTGTAATAATTGAGATACTATTGTATACTGTGTTGAAAGCAGAAATGGTTAAGTTGTGGTTTGGAGGAATATATGGGGGAAATTATTTGGTTTATTATTATTGGTAAATATAATTAATTGATTTGTAAGAAATTGGATTGCATGGAAATAATTGGAATATTCATGTTCATATTGATTAATATACAAAAAAGATAGTTATATAACTAATTGATTTATATTAAAATGCTGAATTTGTATTAAACAACTGTATTACATAATTACATAATTAACCAATGTGAGGATGGATATAAAAATAGATGACAATGGGAAGGGGTATAATATAGAATAGAAGGGAAAAATTGAATTTGATTAAGATTAGAGATGAGGATGAAGGGTAATATTGTTTTTTTTTAAAAATAGATGAGGAATAAATATGGCAAAAAGGAAATATAGAAATTGTAAATTTAATTGAAATGACTAAACACTGTTTAAATTTGTGAACCAGCCAAATATTCTGTTCAAAGAAAATACATTGCATGTTTGTATGTGTGTTTCTAATTATTGCTATTTATTCATATTTGTTCTCTTTTGTTCTTTAAAGTTTAACAATTCATTCTTTATCTTAATATCTTTATATTTGTTTGGGATTGGCTTTCTTTCTTTTCATCTTTTTTATTGTACAGCAATCTTTCTCCTCAAACCTACCACCTCTCTCTTTTCTTTCCTTCTTACTTTCTCTTCCCCCCACCCTCTTCTTCTCCTCCCTATTTCCTCTTCCTTTCTCCTTCTCCTCCTCTCTTCCTCCCTCTCTTCCCCTCACTCCTACTCTAATTTCCCTTCCCTTCCTTCATCCCTCTCTATTGCTGTATCCTTTTATGCATATGGACTACTCAGAGGGCTGAAAATGTTATTTTTGACTGGTCCTCACACTTTTGACCAGTCCTCGAACTTACGACTGTCCTCACATTTTACATTTTTGCCCTATCTTGTCACCATGGTGAAGAGAAGCAGTTGTGAAATTGAGTGACATGGTTGTTAAGAATGCTGCACGGGCATAAATGTGAGGATGGTCATAAGTGTGAGGACCAGTCAAAAGTGTGAGGACCTGTCAGAAATGACTCTTTTCAGCCCTCTGGTTAGTCCTTTTGTGCATATGGACTACTCAGAGGGCTGAAAAAGTTATTTTTGACTGGCCCTTGCACTTTTGACCAGTCCTCGAACTTACGACTGTCCTCACATTTTACTTTTTTGCCCTATCTTGTCACCATGGTGAAGAGAAGCAGTTGTAAATGAGTGACATGGTTGTTAAGAATGCTGCACGGGCATAAATGTGAAGATGGACATAAGTGTGAGGACCAGTCAAAAGTGCGAGGACCTGTCAGAAATGACTTTTTTCAGCCCTCTGAATAGTCCCTATACATATAGCCATGGCCACCCGGTCACATGACCAGCTAGCCACACCCACCCAGTCACATGACCTCCAAGCCACGCCCACAAAATAAGCCACGCCCACAATGGTGTCCCTCTTTACCAATGTTAAAATCTGGTCACCTTATCTTTGAGCTTTGTTTAGACCGGAGTGGGGAAACCATGGCCCTTTTATGACTTATGGACTTCAACTCCCAGAATTCCTATCAGCCATGCTGGCTCAGGAATTCTGGGAATTGAAGTCTACAAGTCATAAAAGGGCCATGGTGCCCCACCCTGGATTAGACCAACATCATTGTTAGCAACAAGGCCCAACAGAGGCAGCTGCGAATTAGAATCCAATTTTAATTTGTAGCCAGTCAACTCTCTGATTAATGGTTTACAGGATTAATATCTCAAATATTTTAGGAAAATATGCATCGTTTGAAACATCCCTGAAGGAGTTAATACCAAAAAATGTCTGAACTGCTTGGGCCTAAAGGAGACGCATTCAAAGCTGTTAATGAATAAAACTGTAGTTTTATTTATTTATGATCCCGTCTTTATTATTTTTCTACATAACTCAAGGCGGCGACCAGACCTAATACTCATTCCTCTTCCTATTTTCCCCAGAACAACCCTGTGAGGTAGGTTGGGCTGAGAGAGAGCGGCTGACTTAAAGTCACCCAGCTGGCTTTCATGCCTAAGGCAGGACTAGAACTCACAATCTCCTGATGATTGGCCCAAAGTCACCAGTCAGAACTCATGCCTAAGGTAGGATTAGATCTCCTGGTTTCTACTGTAGCTTGATACCAAACTGAGTCTAGTTTTATCAAATATATAATTTAGATATTTCTAGGGCATTTAAGAATTTGGTATTAGAAAAATAGGGCTAAAATATAAATTCCCTTTGGAGATTTTTCTATCTCCTCCTCCTCTCCAAAAAAAATAGGTTGGCTCACTTATAGAAAAAGCTGTCATTGCTCTTCAGTTTCATTTCCTTATTGCCTTTAGCGACATAATCTCTACAGACACAATCAGTGGAGTGGTAGCATAAGGTTCTCCCATTCATTTCTGCCTTCTATGAAGTCCGATTGTGAGTCCATTTACTCAAAATTTCATTTGCGCTCGGTAGCAGCGTTCTCCCCAATGATTTCTTGCAACCTTATCTGGGAGAATTCAACCTAGGCTGTACAGAGCCATGGCATTATCATCCTTCCCCAAGTGCCAATCTTGGAAAACAGAGACACCAAACCAGAGAAGAAGTGAATCTTTACACCAGCTAAAATCCCACAGAAATGACCAAGCTGTGAATTTGTTTCTATATCTAAATTTAAAAATCTGAAAAGATAAATGTACAAGAAATGTCATCCCTATGGAGAGAATGGAATACTTCAAAGAGACAGCATTTAGCTGTTGGCTCTATAGAAAGTCTCCAGCTGTTGCCTGGGGAAATTGTGCAATCCCATTCCCCAATTCTGAGAACTTTATTAGATCCCATCAAGTTTGAGAATGCTACAATTGGACTTGTGTACTCAGAAAATAGCCATCTTGCAATAGAATGGATAGACAGCCATCCTGACGTATAGCAAGGCAAATCAACACTCCCAGCTATGTATCCCACCAAATATTTTCTGAAACTAGAAAGTCAACACAAGGCCCGTCAAAATGAGTCACTTCACATGTCATGTTAAATCTGATTTATCTTTAGAATATTAAGAAGAGATCATCATAATATCTTTGCAATATGCAGCCCTTTTCCGAAGGATATTCTGTAATGGAAATATCCAATGGTTCAGAAGAAAGAACTTTTCTACTTTTAACCAGTTATAAATATAAATATAGGCCTTGTTCATGCCCCTAACCCTCTCCCATTACCAGGGGTGGGTTCTAAATTTTTTACTACTAATAAGCGTGGCTTATTTTGTGGGCGTGGCTTGATGGCCATGTGACAATTCTTTAGGATTTAGCAGAGGTACTGGTCTACCAAGCTTTTAACTGCTTGCAGAGCTGTATCGGTCTACCCATTTATTTTTGCAGGCACCAGTCTACTCATGTATTTTTGCAGGCACTGGTCTACCAGCAAACTGCCTTTTACCACTGATCAGCTGTAGGGCGGCCCTTTGAAGCCCCGCGGCAAGAGTTTAAACAGTTTTTTTCCTTATAGCCCATCAACTGAGACTCAGGAGGCAGCAATAGATTGGGGGTGTGGCCAAATAAAAGGTAAGAATAACGTGGGGGGTGGGGGGACGGGGGCAGCAGAACCAGTTCGGTGACGTCATATCATCACCGCTACCGGCTCGGGCCAAACCGGGAGGAACCCACCACTGCCCATTACCCTGAAAATTCTTAAAAGATGATTGCAACAGCGGTTGGCTGAATGTGTGAAGCTACTGTTTGCTTTCAAACCCTCCAGTTCAATACAGAAAGATGGACACAGGAATTAAGAAAACTCTCAGAAAAATACTGAGAAGCGACTGGATTTACAGGGTTGAGGGATTAATTTGATGCTAGATTGACTAGCTTTAAAAAGGAATTGGACCACTTCAGAGAAATCATGGGGTTCCATGGCTATTAGACTGGGTAGCAGTGGGACTGCCTCTGAAGGCCACCTGCTAGGAGACTGGTGGGCCACCACAGACTCCTGGATTAGCTTCCCCTATTAACTTCGCTTGTCGGAAGTTGTTGGGGTTCACATGGCTCAGGGACCTACAACTGTTGTAAATGCATGCCAGTTGTCAAGTGCCCAAATTTTGATCACGTGACCATGGGGTTATTGTAACTGCAACAGTCATAAGTGCAAGGATCATTTGTAAATCACTCTTTCCAGCGTGTTGTAACTTCAATCCGTCACTAAACAAATGGTTGTAAATTGAGGACTCCCTGTATTTGCTCTGCGCTTCGTCTGCTAGGATGAATCCATTATTATGGAGCAACAGCATCTTCAAAATGAATGTTGGGTAGTTTCGAGGTATCTGGCTAGACTAGACTAGACTAGACTAACAGAGTTGGAAGGGACCTTGGAGGTCTTCTAGTCCAACCCCCTACTCAAACAGGAAACCCTATACCAGTGATGGCTAACCTTTTTGCCATCGCGTGCCAAAAGTGGGGGGAGTGCGGGGCGGGTCGCACGTGTGTGTGCCCACACGCATAATTCTATGTGCCCCACCCCTGTGCATGTGTGTGTGACCCCCCCTGCGCTTCCCCCGTTTTTGGCACATGATGGCCCGGTGGGCCCGGTAGGCCCATTTTTTGCCTCCCCAGGCTCCAGAGCCTTTCTAGGAGCCTGGGGAGGGTGAAAACGGCCTCCCCCCCACCCCCGGAGGGCCTCTGGAGGCCGGAAGTGGCCTGTTTGCCGACTTCCAGTTGGCCCAGAAGGCCCGAAAATCAGCTGGCCGGCACACACATGTGCGCCGGAGCTGAGCTTGCATGCCCTCCGATATGGCTCTGCGTACCACCTGTGGCGCGCGTGCCATAGGTTCGCCATCAAGGCCCTATTTCAGACAAATGGTTATCCAATCTCTTCTTAAAAACTTCCAGTATTGGAGCATTTACAATGTCTAAGTGTCATAAGTGTGAAAAACGGCCATAAGTCACGTTTTCAGTGCCGTTGTAACTTTGAACAGTCACTAAATGAATTGTTGTAAATTGAGGACTACCTATAGCAAAATCGCATTGTTGTATTTTTGAAAATCGCATTGTTGTATTTTTGTATTTTTTGCCACATTTAGAGGGCAGATTAAATACACATGATGATGTGAAGACTCTGACTCTCTCTCTCTCTCTCACACACACACACATACACACACACACACACTTTGCAGAAATAGACATTCAAGATAGACACTAAAGGCCCTTCATTTTTTTCTCTGAAGAATAGCATGTTAGGAATAGCCTGTAGGCAGGGCAATTCCATATAACATAACCATTTTTCAGAATGCAATTAAATTCTGACCCAAGGGGAAATTCTTTTTAATGGGATGTATTTTTACAAATTCAAAGCAATCGCTCCTTTTGCTCCATGGGTTCCTTATGTAAGGCCCATTGCCTTGAGATTTGGGTCAGCAGAAAATGCCTTCCCTTCTGCGTACACACCAAACTGTAAAATCCCCACCTGCAACCCCACGGCCCACCATTTTCCCTTCATCTCGTGCGGGATCTACTAGCGCCTCTACATTTATTTAAAACATGCATGAGATGTATTTTCTGCTTGATGTGAATGCTCGGCTTAATGTAGTGCTTAGAATTAAGAGCCAGCAATAATGCATTTTTGCAAATTCTTTCCAAAATCCCATGATTAAGCTATAACCTAAATTGACAGAGATATCCCCTTCATCAGAAAAAGACGATGTTCACAAAACATGCCATAACATAGAAGCAGTCATCCATATTTTAGCCTAGCGCATGGGTTCCTCAAATTCTTGACACTGTGACATCTTAAGAGGTAGGTAGTCCTCAGGTTATGACTGCAGTTGGAATTGGGATTGCCGTCACCAAGCGATGCAGTTATAAAGCATAACTTCAGTGGCTGCATTGAATAGCAATGGAAATCTAACCAGTCCTGGTTGTTGTTGTAACTCCAGATGTGTGAGTTGTTACATGGGACATGGAAAGAATCCTAGGTAAAGAGTGTGGGAATGCCATAAACGGGTGGGGGAATTAGGGTTAGGGTTAGGACGTGGGTGAGAGCTCCAGAAGGCCAGAGAAAAAGAATGCTGTATGTGTGTGTGTGTGTGTGTGTGTGTGTGTGTGTGTGAGTGTGAGTGCAGGGGGTCAAGTAAAGGTTTGAGCAGACGTCTCCAGCACTGCATGTCAGGGAATGTATAAATCTGTAGTTCTGGGAATGATTGCATAGGTGTTCCATTTATATTTCTGCAGATGTTAATGTTTTGGCTTGGGGGCACTCAAAACAGTAAAGCATAGAACAGGAAGTCGGATCAGCCAATCAGCATGCAGGATGCGCACCTCTGCACAGTTGGGATTTGAAAGATGTGCACATCGGCCCACCTGCAGCCATCGGCAACCTTCACTTACTCATCAATCCCTTTGCAGTGTAGGTATGCACCAATGGCTACGGACAGTTGCAGTCAACTCTAAATCAGCATTAAGAGAGCACAGCGTGCAAGCGTGCAAGTGCAGGAAGGCCAGGAAAAAGAGTGTAGGTAAGTGCAAGTAAAGTGGGGAAAGAAAATCACAGTGCGTACGAGTGAAGAAAGGCTGCGGATGGGGGAAGACTTACTTGAGCAACTTATGACCTTTCCTGATGGCTTCCCCAATGACTTTGCTCATGGGAAATCGGCAGGGAAGCTCACAAATGGCAATGACATAACCCTAAGACGCTAAAAACCGGTTGTAAGTGTGAGCTGGTTGCCAAGGGCTTGACTTTTGTGCACATGACCGAGCTGATGCTGTGACAGCTGGGAACTTTGAGAACCAATCATAAGTCCCTTCATTCAGGACTGCCATAACTTCAATGGTTGCGGCCTTTGCCGTACCTCGAGGACTACCCGTCACGAATTCGTGAGATTGCTGTTGATGATGTGGATGGTGAAGAGTTGCTGAAAGAATTTAACTTCTTCCAGTTGTGTGGAATTTTCTGCTCTAGTTAATTCTGCATTCCAGCCTCTGTGTAGAAATCATCATCAGGCCTGCATGTGCAAAGCTGAAGCTCGGCCAAGATTTGGTCCATGATCTGCTTGGACAAGCCAGCTGCCTGTTCTAAATTCTTGGCAAACATTTCAATTGTCACTGGAGAAATTTCTGTCCAGGGTGGGTTTACGTGCACTTCTGAGGGGGTTTTGTGGTTTTTTTTTTTTTTTTTGCTGATTTTGCTTGCCCTCCTCCCAGTCTAATGCCTTATTTTCTTCTCTTTTATTTTCTCCTTGTTTTCTTCACTTTTATTTTCTCTCCTACACTACTAGAGCAACAACTAAGGGACATGGATTACCAATGATCACCACTCCTAGTCTCGTGGACAGTGAATATACAGAAAGTCCTCAACTGATGACCCTAATAAAACCTGCCTTTTACAGTCATAATTCGCAATGGTCATAAAGCAGGTCACTCACATGACCAACCCAATTTTATAACCTTTTTTTTTTTTGTATGGTCTTTAAGCAATTGTTAAGCAAATACCATGGTTTTTAAGTGACTCCATTGTTCACTATGGGGTGTTTTTGCAAAAAACAACAACCGAGAAGTAAATGCCAGTTTTCTGTATAAATGTTGTAAATTGCAGTTGCATGATTGCGGGATGCTGCAAAAGGCTTTAAATGGGCCAAAATGATTTAATTTGATTTTATCTGGTTTTTAAATTTTTTGTATCTATGTATTTTATTGTTTGGCTGTTCACCGCCCTGAGTCCTTCAGGAGTAGGGCGGTATACAAATCAAATAAACTAAACTAAACTAAATGTGGGCTAAGCACCAAGGGACCAAAATGTGGTCATATGACCACGGGAGAGGATGGCCATTGGAACTTCGGAAAGATTGTGTCTTTTGAGATGGGGGTCTGTTGCAACTCTGCATGGTTGGTACCAGTGGTGGGTTTCACATTATGTTACTACCGGTTTGCCACTCGTGTACCCGGTTCATGCGTGCATGCCTTCCACCTCAAAAACGTGCCTAAATAGGATGGCGTAGAGTCGGGGCGGGGGGTGGGCCCAACCATGATTTCTGCTACCGGTTCGGGTAAACGGGTCCAAACCAGCTGAGTACCACCTGATAACAGTGACACCTAAAGTAGTATTTATCAACCTTAGCTACCTGAAGACTGACTTCAACTCCCAGCATTCCTCAGCCAGCTTGCTAAAGCAGTTAAAGTAGGAGAAGGGCAGGCGGAGCTGGGGGCTGGAGTTAAACGTGTCATCAATGTAGAGTCCTTATGTTGCCTCAAACAATTCAAGTCCAACTGCCCTTGAATCCGTGGACTTATTTAGCAGCAATTTAGTACTGTTAGTTGATTAGATTCTTGTGTATAGGCTTGAATGAATCTTCTGATCCTTTGTGCCTGACACTATCAGATTGTTATCATCAGCCTTTGCAAGGTAGAACAGGAACATGGTCTCCAGTTTTACCTGGGCATGCCCCCAAAATATTCGAAACTCCTAACATTTCGTGCAACCTCCTGGGATATGTTCCACAATTTGAGAACTCCTGCAAAGCCAACCTGGGTTAGCAAATGGGTCAGTGAGTTGTGCTAACGCAGGGCAGAACAACTGTGATTTTTTTTCAGCAAATGCCTCTTGCAGATCTCTCTCTGTCAATCACTGATCCACCACTGAAGCTACTTTTTACATGCATCAATTATACTTGTGGCTTTATCCATTGGAGTTGGTCCTATGGGAAATCATGAATCCTCAGAATGATTGGACAGTTTTTTGTCTGAAATGTTATAGGGCAGTGATGGCTAATCTTTTTGCCATCGCGTGCCAGGAAGGGGGGGGGGGCGGGGGAGGTTCACATGCGTGTGTGCCCACACCCATAATTCTATGTGCCCCATCCCAAGCATGCGACCCCCGCTCCTGGCACATGATGGTCCAGTAGCCCCGTTTTTCTTTCTTACCTGGCTCCAGATCCTCTATATGCATCTGGGGAGGGCAAAAACAGCTTTCCCCACTCTCTCGGGAGGTCCTCCGGAGGCCCGAAAGGGCCCGTTTTCCACATTTCAATTAGACAGGAAGTGACTTTTTTGCTGTCCCCAGCCTCCAGAGTCTCCTAGAGAGGCTGAGAGCTGAGCTAGCGTGCCAGGCGATATGGTTCCACGTGCCACCTGTGGCACGCTTGCCATAGGTTCGCCATCATGGTTATAGGGTCTCCTGCTTGAGCAGGGATTTGGACTAGAAGACTTCCAAGGTTCCTTCCAACTGTGTTATTCTGTTAAAACAATGGGAATTTGAATTATTCTTCAATAAACCTTGTGGTCTGTGCACACATGGACAATCAGATTCTTAGCCCACCAGAAGACTCTTTATATTAAATAAGGTTGCTGGTGTTTGCAATAAAGGATCCTATCTAGTGTCCAGTGAGAAGGCTAAATTCCAGAGAAAGAATTATTGCTGACACACGGGGATTTTTCTCTAGTAACCAACTTCCTCTCCATTAATATTCAGCAGGCAATGTCTTCTGTCCCTCTAGAAATGTTCTTTTGGAATTTTTAAAAAAGTGATGGAATTTTAAACACATTTACCAGAGCAATTTTCTGAGGCTCAGCCATTTGATGACGTGTGGACTTCAACTCCCAGAATTCTCAAACCAACAAGGCTGGCTGGGGAATTCTGAGTACTGGAGTCCACACATTTTCAAAGAGCCTTGGTGGTGCAGCGGACTAAAGTGCACTTAGCTGCCAGCTACCTGCAATTACTGCGAGTTCAAATCTCACCAGGCTCAAGGTTGACTCAGCCTTCCATCCTTTCAAGGTAGGTAAAATGAGGACCCGCATTGTGGGGGCAATAAGCTGACTTTGTATAAAAAAGAACACCGCTTAGGGGGGGCCAAAAGCCCTACTAAGCAGGTATATACAAAAGTATGAAGGCTATTGCTTAACGCATTGTAAGCTGCCCTGAGTCTCCGGAGAAGGGTGGCATATAAATCGAACCAATAAATAAATAAATAAATAAATAAAATAAATGGCTACGCTTGAAAAACACTGCCCTAGGGAACTGGCCCTATGGAATGCAGTGGGATGATTTCCCCCCCTTTTTCTGATAGTTATATGAGAGGTCTTCGAAGAATGCCAGAGCTCTAGGCAAGATTGGGAAGTTGAAATAAACATCCTGGAAAAAGAAGGAAATGGTAAATAAGCAAACAGCATGGTTGCGTGCAGCAAAATACCAGGACTCAAGGCTGATTTAAAAGTCATTTTTACTTTTTTTTAATAGCCATAAGATTACACAACAGATTTGCCTATTACAGTGTTCTGCTGAATTAGTCTGCTGTTCCTGTTGTTAATTTATCTTCAGCTTTGATGGATTTTATTGTCATGTATGAGCTGCACAGGACTATTTCAAGATAATTTACTGCGTGAGGCAAAAAAGCCATTCAAATTGACACACGTGTTCAAATAAACGTATTGAATGTTCCCTTTCAAATCTATTTTCTGCATTAGCCTTTGGATTTTAGTTAAGACATTTACTGCAACATTCTGTGACTTTTATTTACATTTTTAAAATTACATTAAACTGTTTCGCAAAAAAAAAGAAAAAAAGGGGGGGTACACACAACAGTTAGCAAAACCATGCATCTCAACATTTATAGGTGTAACCATCTAAAAGTAAAAGGGAAAAAATGTCCTGGGAAATTATAAGCAAAGAAACTTCCCCAAATTTTATCATATTGCTCAAAAGTCTTCTTGCCCTCATTTTCTTTTTCTTTTTTAAAATTCAATTTGACCAACCATATTTCTCAACAACCCATTGCTGCATTTGATTAGAAGATCTCCAAGTTCCCTTTCAACTCTGTTTTTCTGTTTATCTGTTAATATTATGGAAGGTTAGTTGCTGGATGCACTATTTTTTTTCTCCTTCCAGTGTAGCATGATAATTCATTTAACCAGCCTACATAGCCCCAAATCTGATATGTTTGAAGTTTTGATAAATTCTGAATACTGGAGACAGAGCCATCAAGAACGTATGCAAAACTCAATGATTGATCCAGTCATACGAACCAAACCCCAAATGGGACAATAATAAAACAAATCAATTTCTATGTTCCACATTCTGGAAAGATGCACACACTTTTATCTTCTGAAACATTTGGCTGCGAGATCCTAACAAGATTCACCTACAAACATCTGCAAGGGAAAAATGTACTTGGATAGAAACAGATGAATGTTAGATCTGCATCAGTAAGGAGACCTCAAGGTGTACAAGAATCAAAAACTGTTAAGTAGTTAACAAGATCAATTAAAGATACAAAAAAAACCCCCTTCTTTAGACTGTTGGAACCAAGAGAGCTTCGGACAGTAGAAAACATGGAATGGATTTTGATATAAAAATGCTCCTTTATATGAAGGAGGTCTCTATTTATAATCCATGTCCTCCTCTTATCCGCCTACAAGCCTATATTATACTTTGGGCTGTTGGTTCTCGGAGCTGTAATGAAAAATTAAATGAATCAAGGCCAATTAGTAGACTTTACTCTGATTCAGCAGAGAACCTCCAGAACGCTTGTGCCATCTTTCAATGCTTAACAACTGTGAAATAATCTACATAGTTGATATCAAAACTTGTTTGGACTGAAGGATTAATAATGCTTGACAAACCGGGGCTGAGACTGACCTGCTGAGACAGCAATTGAAGACAAATAAAACAGAGCTCGGGATGGATACAGAAAATTAAGCTTCACTCTGTCAGGCCTCGTGGCTCATTAATGCAGGCCGTGAATCGAGGAATTGCATGTTATTTTAATATTTTATCGTGAGCCGGAGGTGTAGGAAAGAGAGGCTGGGGAAAAAAAGCTTGCACAAAAGCTAATCTGCCTAGGAAATCAGTGCCACTGGCTAGAGTGAAGCCTGCACGTACAATACAAGTGGCTGTTTAAACGGTTGACACAAACACTTCCCAGCTCAAGCTTCATTCCTCTGCAAGATCTAACTAATTAGTGCAACAAAGGAAGGAGTTTATTTAGGGGAGATGCTGGCTTTGATTGAGCAAGATCTTCACTTTGCAGGTTTGTTATAAATTGTCGGTGTTACGTTTCCAAATACAGGAAGTCCTCCACTTACAACAGTTCATTTACAGTTCGAAGTTTCGATGGCACTGAAAAAAGCAGCTTACATACATTTTTCACACTTATGACCATTGAAGCATTACCCCCAACAGTCACATGTTCAAAATTCAGACCCTTGGCAACTGACTCGTATTTATGACGGTTGCAGTGTCCTGGAGTCACGTGATCAGCTTTTGCGACCTTCTGATAAGGAAAGTCAATGGGGAAGCCAGATTAATTTAACAACCGTGTTACTAATTTAACAACCGCAGTGATTCACTTAAAAACATGCGTCAAGAAAGGTTGTAAGATGGGGCAAAAAGTCTCACTTAACAACTGTCTCACTTAGCAGCAGAAATTTTGGGCTCAATTGTAGTCGTCAGTCGAGGACTCCCTGTGTGCAATCCTTCCACCAGATACAATTTGTTTGGGTTACACACCTTAATTGAATCAAATGCTACCACTGTTTTTAGAATGCATGTTGTGTTGCTGTATGCTACCCACTCGGATCTTCAAAGAGGATTGCAAAAATAACCAATTGCTCAGGCGGTAATTTATAAAAATTTCCTTGCACCATGATTGATGAAAAGGCCTCAAACAGATTTCTGCAACGGAGACCCCTTCCCTACCTCCAGAACCTTCCGCTGTTGCTAAAATCAACCCCTCCCCCCCATGTTTTATAGAACCTGGTTCCAATGCTGCAATC